AGTTATTAAGTCGCAATTCTGAGTTATAAAAAAATCTTTTGAATTTCGACAATTTCTCACGACATTTCATATTACGTTACGAGAGTTCCTGTCGCCAGCAGCTGAACGTTTCTGCGACGCCAAGGTATGGTCATATTTACTATTTGGCATGATAATTATTTACGATATGAAGTGTTACAGTAAATGCCGTGTTATAATAGAAGCCTTTGGCGAGTGTAAAATCCGAAAGTTTTGCGTGTGTGGTATCATAGCCTACAGGCTCATGCGGTTTCCTCGAATAGTAGTCGTGTTGCTTTTATGGACAATTCAGTAGGCTAGTTTACATTGCACCAAAAGGGAGTAAAATTAGGTTTGGATTCAAAGCTTGCTTTGTTATGTACAGTATACTAACCACAAAAGTACATGGATTTTGTTTTCTGGCTTATATACTCGGTCTAGGCTTTATATTGGCCTCTAGCCTCACTATGTTTTCCTTTTAAAACTATCATTGTAGGATGGACGAATTAATAATTTTACTAAGGGAGAGAAACATCCCTGAAACAACTATCAAACGACTGGAGGAAGACAAGGTAATACCTAAACAATTTACCACACACTTTTAAAGTCATAATTTGGAAGAAGTGGACATTTTAATGCATGTTTAATTTTAGTCACTTGCAGTTTTATTTCTTAAAGTAGTTATATACTGTTTATTTTACAATAAATAACTTAACTTAAGCTGAACACTTTGGCAAAGCTCCAGTGTTTACCTAAACACTTTCAATTATACTTCAGTTTAGTGACTGAATCTTAATATTAACCAGTTGCTTGTTGACATGCATAATACTAGCAGACTGCTTATTGGTACTTAAAAAACATATATTAATGCCATATTTTGAATGACCATATTTTACATTCTTTTTTAAACCATTCATAGTTACTAAGAGGCATACTCAAAGAAAACAGTACTACACCATTGGGGAATATTACAGAAATTTAATACATTTATTGAAAAACAAAGTACCAAAATGTATGTAATGGCAGAAATATGAAATGAAATATGAAAATAAAAATAAATAAAATAACATGAACTTGTCATTTATAACCAGTAGATGGTAGCAGAGGTTAACTCATTTAGCTCAGTTACTGTATCGACTCCTTAGATGTTTCAATGTCTTTCTTTTGGATTTCTTATGAAAACATTAAATATAGCAAGTTTACTGTATTATAAGGAAGTACAAAGTACAAGAAGTCAGAGTGCCATTTAAATATAAATAGTGAACCCATACACCAACAATCTTTAAGGGTAATTTACTTAAATACTTTAGTATTAAATTTACTTTATTCAGCCAACTCAGATTTGTTATTATTTAGTTTTGGTACTCTAAATTTAGTTTGATTTACTTTATGCACAACTCTGAAACTGCATAGGTGGATTACACATAAACACACGCACGCACGCACACACACACACACACACACACACACATATATATATATATATATATATATATATATATATATATATATATATATATATCTAAAAACATACATACATACATACAGTACATACATATATGTATAGATATATATATATATATATATATATATATATCTATATATATATATATATATATATATATATCTATATATATATATATATATATATATATATATATATATATATATATATATATATATATATATATACGCGTGAGTGTGTGTGTGTGTCTGTATTTATTTATGTAAGTATTTATTTATTTTGCAGATTGATGTCAGTGTCCTACTGTTAATGACTGATGATCAGATGAGAAGCTATTTTCCTTCATATGGAGACAGACTGGCCGTGATGGGATTTTGTAGGAGGCAAGAAAGAGAACCAACTTGCAGGAAGTCAAAGCTGTTTGAGCGCCTCAAATCAAAACTGACCAAAAGACAAAAACCTGACAATTCACAAACAGAAACCCAAAATACTACAAAAAAACATTCTCAGCGTACTGTAAGAAAAATTGAAATGGGGTGGATGCACCATGATGGTCAGGGCTTTGTTCAAATGAGAGCAAAAAAAGGAGGGGGAACAAGGAAGTTGAGTGTTCCAAAAGAATGGAAAAGGGAAGAGCTGATTGAGGAGGCAATTCGTCTGTTTTTTCCAAATGGAAAAAATTCTCATGGGAGTATTTCTGAGTTTAAATTGGATCTAACAAATTATCAGGAAGTGTCACTAGATGCAGAATCTACAGTGGGGGAAATGTATAATGCATCCAAACTCACAATGATGAGGTTCTACTTGACAACAAAAAAGGTGGAGAGGGAAGTGGAAACAGAAAGTGAAGAGGAAATGTCAGATCAAATGGAGAACTTTCACAGTAATAACCAGGATCAAAGCCTTCCCTCTACTTCCAGTGGGATGAATGACTTCTTTCCTTCAGAGATGGATGTAATTTATGTAGATAGTCCGGTTAATGACACTGCATCTCCCTTTCATTCCACAGAGGATCATATTGCAGATGATGACCTGAATGTATCTTTTCAAAGTTCTTTAGTGACCTTGCCAGATTACTTAGATTCAAGCAATGTAGTAACAGTACTCACTGGTGACATCATTGGAATAGATGAACAAAACTTAGATGACACTTTGCCGCTGAGCCCAGAACCCATTGCTCCACAGAAAAAAATCCTTGTTGTTCATCGTGGACAAATATTTTCAGAGCTCATTGCCCATTTCTGTGATGAAACCCTTATTCATACACAGAGTGAAGTAGAAGTGAAGCTGCTGCTCCCAAATGGACAGTTTGAGATGGGTCATGATGTTGGTGGAGTGTTTAGGGATTGCCTATCAGAGTTCTGGCAGGAATTTTATGATCAGTGCACATTGGGGAACAATTTTAAAGTTCCCTTTCTTCGACATGACTTTGGCAAAGAAAAGTGGGAAAGTGTGGCCCGAATAATTTTGTTCGGCTGGAAGAAAGAGAAATATCTCCCAATAAAACTTGCACCTGTCATCCTCCAGCAAGCAATACAGGGATCTGTGAAAAGTGATCTGATTGAGAACTTTTTGAAGTATGTCTCAGAAAACGAGTGTGCTTTGTTAGAAAGCTGCAGAAAAGACTTCTGTAGTGCAGACCAGGAGGAATTGCTTGAGACCTTAGACAACTACAGTTGTCGAAGAATTCCAACAAATGAAAACTTCAAGCAAATTTTGGAAGAACTGGCTCACAAAACTCTCATTCAAGAGCCTGCTTATGTTCTTGAACAGTGGGCATGCATACTTGGACCTCTGAGGAAGGACCTTGAGGAAATTGAAGATGTGTACTGTGCATTACAACCAACAGTGAGGAAAATTGTGCAATCTCTCAAATTTCCTGAAACAATGAATGTACAGCAAAAGGACATTTCAAAGCACTTGACAACTTACTTGAGGGAGTGTGATGCAAAACGGCAGTCTCTGTTTCTTCGATTCTGTACTGGATCAGATTTGTTTATAGGCAAAGCTATAACAGTTGATTTCACAGACCTTAAAGGGTTTGAGAGAAGACCAGTGGCGCACACATGTGGCTGTTTTCTGAGGCTTTCAGTGCACTATGACAACTACCCTGATTTCAGATCTGAAATGAACAAAGTCCTTGAAAGCAACATCTGGGTCATGGACATAGTTTAGTGGATTTAGTCGGAACTGAGTTGTGGCCAGCTCCTATGCAAGCTATTGTTTTCTGTCATTCTTATTACACTTCATACAGTTAATTCACACTGTATACAGAAAGTAAATCATTCCCTTTAATTTTGCACTTACATATTGCTGGTTACATTGAATGCAGACCAACCTTTATTATTTTTGATGATTGAGTTTTGTTTTTTTTTTGATGATTGAGATTTGATTAAAAAAAAATAGGTGCAACCAAATGTTTGAGTTAAATCATTAAATTGTTAATTTCAACTGTTCAGTCAAATAGGCTTGGAACTGTCCAAATGTTTTAATGGTTCCTTTTTCATACATGTACACGCTCTACCATTATTTGACAAGTTCATAAAGTAAAACAATCACTTTAATTGTTCATTGAATGTTGCCCCTAAATAGTGAAAGTTTTCTTCATAGTTACAAACAACTGTTTACATTTAATTGTACAAGTTGCATCTACCCTGACATAAATGTCTGAATGATTATGTGTTCCTAAAGAGATAGTTCACTAAAAAAATGAAAATGTTCTCACTTTTTACTCACCCCTCAAGTGTTTACAAGCCTCTATGGATTTATTTCTTTGGTTGAACACAAAAGAAGATAGTTTGAAGAAAGCTGCAAACCTGTATCCATTGACTTCCATAAAAGAAAATACAAATACTATGAAAGTCAGTGGTTACAGGTTTTCAGCTTTCTTCAACAGAAGAAAGAAACAAGCAAGGAGTGAGGAAATTGACAAGTTCATTTTTGGGTGAACTATCCTTTTAAGTTTGTGTTTCTATACAGTTGGGTGTTGCATTATTGCAACAATACATAACAATTTTATAACATTGTTTTATTGAAATAGTTTTAATGTGGTTTGTTTTATTTTTTCTTGTACCACATTGTAATGTTAAGTACTCATACATTAAACAACACAACCTCCATATATTGTGCCATGTTTTTTTGAGAATTCAAGATGGAGTGAGTAGGCTACTACACTGAAAAAAAAAATGATTTATTGGATTTACAAAAAGTGGTTGCAAACAAATTGTTTAGGCTGAATTTAAACAAACAAATTAAGTAGAACATAACTAAATTTACTTTTTTGTTTATATTCAGCCCATATAAATTTTTGCATTTCAGCATTGCATTTTTTATTGGCCAATAAATAAATTGCTCATCAAAGTCTGCTTTAATTAAAAAAAACTTTGAACTTTTAAAATCAATTTCACTTAAAGCTCTGTAGTGGTGCACAAAACCTGACAGCCAGTGTACCATGTTAAAATGATTACAGGTTCGTTAAGCATGTATAGGAAAAACATTGGGAATACTGTTCGAGCATTTGTTTGAAACAAAAATGTACTACTACAAAGTTGAATATTTAATAATAAAAATACTATTACAAATTCAGTTCTTTATTTCAGGTATAACACAAAATACAGACAGTTTACCATTTAAACCCTTTAGTTTATGTTTTAAATATACATCCCCTTTATATTCCTAAGGTGAAACAAATGAAAATTCTATACATTTTGAAAAATTTCAGTACTATTGCTTTACAGTTTAAACAAAATTATTTTACTTTTGAGTAACAAAATACTTCTAAAACTCACTTCCTCTGTTTCTATTGCATTCAGGTTAGGTCTAAAAGTATTAATAGAGCACCACAAAAGTGTTTGAAATCATGCAAAAATGTGCATTACTGTAGTTGGGAAAGATGTCATTTAAAAAAGTAGTCATAAAAAAGTTTTTTTTTGTGTGTGAAGTGCATCTTGATGCACTTTTATTATCTCATCTACCTAAGTTTGCTGGCCTTCTTTTGCACATGAGGATGGGATGGTCTGGAACAAATTATTCATTCCTTCTGAAAACACAAAGCAACATCACTGTGATTGTGTGTCATCATAAAGAATTATATTAGAGGTTATTTACTGTACTTTGAGCACTGTGTCTGACAGACAAGGGATCCTGAAGCGTGTATGAAAATGATGGGATGTAAACAGTTGTTCCATTATAGTATGTAGAGTAAAGGTACATTAATCCCATAACCCTAGAAGATAGGGCTGTTACTAATCAAATACAATCAGCATCAATAAAATACATCCTTCGATTGCCACAGTGGCACAGAAGATACATCAGATGTGTCATTCATTCATTAGTAACGAAGAATTCATGTTTTAAAATTATTCTTTGTTTGCTGTGAGCATTTTGCATGCTGTTTATGTGCCCCAGTACATAAAAAAGCAATGTTATTTGACATGTCTGTTAAATGCAGCTAAGTTGTAACACAACTGTGATGCAGAAAAAAATACAATTCCAGTTGTATCAATAATGGCATTGTGTTAATGTTTTGTTTATAGAATTTTTTTCATATAAAAATATGACATGTCAGTGGCAATCCCAATTTAAATATTATGCCCTTAAATTATACACTATGGCATTTAGACAACTGGCTTGTTATCAGTTTCATAATTAAAGATGTAATGACTTTTTGAGTCTGGGGCATAATGGTAACAAAATTCATTAACATATTCATGTTTAAAGCCAAATAATAATAAAGTGAAATATAAATCCTGCTCACCTGTTATCTTGATAGACAGACACAGCACAGTGAAAGTAAAGTGGGAATTGCAGAGATTTTAACCTCAGAGAGTTCTTTTGAGACTTGCATGAAAAAAGCACAATAGAAGTGTTTCAAATAATGCTCACAGATAATATTGTGTGTGTGTGTGTGTGTGTGTGTGTGTATGTGTGTGTGTGTACAATACCTTTACCTTCTAGTGAAAGTTGTAGATAAGATCTCAATGGTGCATCTAGTCATCCAAGTCCAGTCCTTCAAGGATTAGTTCACGAAGCTTAAGGTAAAGGTCTGTAATTTCATAAACATCATCTGACAATGCAAGGTTATGTTCATCCATCAGTTCTACGCACAGTTGAAAGACATCCTCATCACAAGGGTAGTCTTTAACTAAACACTCCTCTTTGCAAATACTCAGCTTTGTTTGTTCAATTGGATGCAAGAAATTCTGCACTCCATATAAGCTGGGAACAGCAAACATTATTGAAGGTCGACCACTGGGAGCACGTGGATTGTGAGTTGGCCGTATCCTGTGGCAATTCCAGGCACTGACTATTTCATCAAGCTCTTCCTTTATAAAATAAAAGCAACAAAATTAAATTAATAAACACACTGTAAACTGCATATTGTAGGCTATGTAAATATTAAGTTAATCTTTAACGGCAATATTGTTTTTATGATTAAATAAACTATAGTAAACCAAATGTTACCTGTATAGAATGCTGGAAACAAAACTGGATGAGAGATTTATCAATGAAACTATCAACAAAGTGCCCATCTTCTTTTAGCTGTTCAAAATGATCCATCCAAAATTGTATGCACTGACTTCTCAAAGTGGACCACCATCGTTCAATTCTCTGGTTCCCCGTGCTTGGACCAAGCGTGACAGATTCGGCACTAGCAGTGCCTCTGAAGAATGTCTGCATATCTGCTAAATGCGTATTTTCAGTTCCATGGTCAATGCGAATTCTATGTGGAAATCCGTTATTCTCAGCAACAGCTTGTATGAAATAACCCGCAATTACTCGTGGGTCATTGTTCGTTTTGTATGCTTCAAGCCAGATCATTTTTCTGGAAAACCCATCAATGCATCCGTTTATGCATATTCCGTAAGGTTTCAACTTGTCGTACCCGTCAATATGCCAAACATAGTTTGGTCCGCGGCTGTTATACATGCGTCGCCGCAGACGACCGCGAGCGCGCAGGTCAACTCCCTGTCCATCTAACAGCCGCATCAACTGACGGACAGTTTCTCTGTCTGTAATAATGCCAGAAAGCCAACATTTCTGGTGCATCCAACGATATCCATGTTGTCGTCCCGATGTCTGTAGCTGTTGGTGTATAAAACGTGCCACGTCGGCCTCGTCTGTTTTATTGCGTCTCCGCCACAACTGATTCATACATAACGTTCTCTCAAGAGTCCGCAAACTAAACTTTATGTTGTGTGATTCCTCCAATAAAATTAAGATTTCTCTATTAGTAAAACCGCACCAAAAATAATCCTCTATAATCTTTTCCATTTAGGCTATAGCCTTCATAAGAAGGTCCAGCGATGTAACCTACTTCCATGCCATACAGATAAGACTCAGATAAGCCTTTTTTCTCTGAATTGCGAGATATAAACTCAGAATTCTGACATAATAACTCAGAATTGCGACTTAATAACTCAGAATTACGATTTTATAACTCAGAATTCTGACTTAATAACTCGGAATTGCGACTTAATTACTCAGAATTGCGACTTAATAACTCAGAATTACGACTTTATAACTCGGAATTCTGACTTTATAACTCGGAATTACGACTTTGTAACTCCGAATTCTGACTTAATAACTCGGAATTGCGACTTTATAACTCAGAATTTTGACTTTATAACTCGGAATTGCGACTTAATAACTCAGAATTCTGACTTTATAACTCGGAATTCTGACTTTATAACTCGGAATTGCGACTTTATAACTCAGAATTCTGACTTTATAACTCGGAATTCTGACTTATTAACTCAGAATTCTGACTTTTAAATTTTCTTTATATTATCATTAATTTTTTTTTTATTATTAATTCTTTTTCTTTTTTTTATTCAGTGGCGGGAACGGGCTTCCATAGTATTTTCATACTTTGTTTGTGATTAATTTTTAATGACTAAATTGAGTATCGCATTATTTACAAACCAGTTATTTAAGACTGGTTGGTGTTTTTTTTAAGATCATTCAGAATGTGTAAGTTAATGATTAATTAACTATTTAAATAAACATTTATAAATATTATTATTCAGGCATATACTAATAGTTAATTTGTATGTTAATAAATGCTTTATTAACTCAACTTCATGCAGTTTTGTGACCAAATCTAAAGTGAGGACTATTTATGCTTTATAAATCCCTTATAAATGACAAGGCTCAGTTAAATTCTAAACAGGATTTTTTTTATTAATTTGAAGAAACACAAATGATACTGTATCAAATGATAATAAATCATTGCAATCTTGTGTAAAATAAAATTGCTGTAGAGTTTAAACATAGCTAAATAACATTGAAATGTTGCATCCTATTATATTGTTTTTTAATCCAATTTTATGTTAAATTTTGACACTCCTGTTATTCGGCAATGTTTAAACTTTACAGTAATTTAATTTTTTAAATAAGATTGCAAGGATGTGTTGTTCATTTGATACTGAGCCTTTAATTATCATCTATAAGGGATTTATAAGCATAAATAGTCCTCACTTTAGATTAGGTTACAAAACTGCATGAAGTTGAGTTAGTAAAGCATTTATGAACATAAATAGTAACCATTACAACATGCCTGAATAATACAATATATAAACATTGATTTCAATAGTTTATTAATTATTCACTAACTCATTCTCAATTATCTTAAATAACACCAACTACTCATACAAATGGTTTGTAAATAATGCAATACTTAATTTAGTCAAGAAAAATCAATCACCCACACATAATGAAAATACAGTTATTAAGCACATATTAGTGTGCTTATAAGTCAAGAAAACAGTATTTGTAGCCGTATATATATAAACTGCTTCCTAACGTTTATTATTGTAGTGTTAATGCTTAACAGTTAATGAATTCACTATTTGCTAATTCCTAATAAATGATTTATAGTGTGTAGTTATTATAAAGTGCTACTGAAAAGTCTTTCATGTTATTGTCATTTCAATTTTAGTTTTACTGGCAATGTCTCCAATCTTTTTGACTATAACTTTCCTTATTTGTTTCCAAGAAGACAATTATTAAGCTGTCACATGCTCTCTAAAAGGTGAATGTATCGTTTGCAAGGAAAGTAATAGAAATCTGTGTTGCAAACTGACAGACAGTGTTGACTTGTTTATGGTTAATAAATTCAAATTATAGTTGGATTACTTTGTCTTTGAGTGCAGTTTCTATGATCTATGCATATCTAGAATTTATATCCCTAGGTACTGTGTAACATACAAGTTATCGTTTTCATGCATGGTCAAGGGTAAAGCAAATGATTTACAGTTGCTACTGAAATTAAACTATGTTCAGTATACGAAACAACATTGGTCTTCTTAAAATATTATAAATAAACACAATTGACTAAAGTGATGATCTTATGCTGTTAAGTTGTTTACATTTTAAAATGTATTTTCGTTACATAATTATTGTGGCAACCACAGCTGCCAGATTGTTTTAGATATTAATGTAATTATTAATTTTAGTAAATAGTATTAATTAGTAAATATATTGTTTTGTTTTTTAACGTAATTGTTCTTTATGTTCAACAGTTTTAAATTGTAAACAGGTTTACATTTTTATTGTGATTTTTACAAAATTATTCTGGCAACCATAGCTGCCAAAATATTTTTGTAAAAACAACAAGATTTTTTGTTTAAATACTAAAAATGTAATTATTTCTTACACAAAATTTCTGTAAATTTTACATAATATTAATTTGTTTTTTAACAAAATTATTCCGTACATATACAGTTTTAAATTGTAAACAGGTTTACATTTTTATTGTAATTTTTACAAAATTATTCTGGCAACCACGGCTGCCAAATATTTTTGGTAAAAATAACAATATTTTTTGTTTAAATACTAAAAATGTAATTATTTCTTACACAAAATTTCTGTAAATTTTACAATTTTTTAAATTGTTTTTTTACATAATTATTCCGTACATGTACAGTTTTAAATTGTAAACAGGTTTACATTTTTATTGTATTTTTTACAAAATTATTCTGGCAACCACAGCTGCCAAATTTTTTTTGTAAAAACAACGGAATTTTTTTTACAGTGCAGGTGAACATGACAAACTAATAATGAGTTCACAAGGTGGGTGGGACTAGACAATAGACGGGAGAGCGCATGACATAGAGACAACACAAGCCATGCGCTCACATTAAACAAAACAAGAACATGCAGCCAATGAGAGAACTCATTAACCGCATGTTCATGACAAGCACACCGCTAAAGCACACGACAAAAGCACGTGACCACAATGTAAACACCGAGCCACGTGCTTTGACAAAAGACGCAAGACACGAGCGTACGATAGATAAACACCTTACCGTGCGCTCACACTTAAGCAATGCGCATGCTTCATCTCAGCGCCAACCAAAACTGAAACCAACTAGACGGAGGCTCTGAGAACAAAGCAGTGCGATGCTGACAGAACAAACACAAACACTAGTACAAGAGGGACGCAGAGCGCACGCGGCCACATAAAGCGGCAGCACGCACACTCTGCGTACACCCACGATGGCGCGCGCGCACACAGAGACAGAAACAGGACCAGACATGGGTAGTGTCAGAGCTCTGCCACCACCAAAACAAGAATTTACAAGACCAGAGTGACAGAACCCTGACAGAAAAACAATAGATTGCAGATTGAAGATCGCCAGCTGCTCTAGCTTTCACCAGCAGGTGGAGATAGAATAATATCTAATATTGAATATTCATTCATCAATTCATTCATTTTCATTCTGCTTAGTCTCGATTTTAGAGGAAAAACAATTAATCTGGACAAACTAAAGACATTTTGCAAACGTTTAACCGTGGCAGAACCCCAAAAACTAGAAAAAAAGAAGAGAACTATAGCCTTAAACTATACGCTTTTAAATTCAAGACTTTTGGCATTGATTTTGTTCCATACACCGGCCCTCCAGGACCAGGATTGGTGACCCCTGACTTATGCATTAGTTAAGTAAGTGTACTAAAATGTGACATGACAATCTTTGTAAATTGTAGTCTCAGTTTGCTGTTCTTAGTATTAAAGGAGTCTCACCATTGTGTTTTTCTTCTTCTGTGACTGTAGCTCATCTGCTCAGCTGGGTAAAGGGGTACCCCCTCAGGGATCAGTTTCTGGTCTACTTCTGTTTTCAATTTACACTACATCGCTAGGAACCATTATCCAGTCAAGAGGCTTCTCTTATCATTGTTAATGCTGACGAGACACAGCTCTATCTTCAAATTCAGCCAGATCATCCAATGGTATCTGCAAGGATCTCGCACTGACTGGAGGATATCTCGGAAGGAATGGAAAATCATGACCTATAAATACAAAATAATATGGTCACGCAAATCAAATAAATTGGGATTTGAATTGAAAAACACACGTCTAGGACTTAATTGGAAATATCTCACTTTGTTTAAAATAAATAAAAAGATACACATCAGGACATGAGGATGAGTAAAGAATTTCATTAACGTTAACTTAAGTTACATTTCTTCAGTCAGCTTTCTGAGAGAGAGAGAGAGAGATTTTTTTTTTGATTTTACAAATCCTTTTATTAACAAGCAATTATTTAACAATTGATTTACAGCTCAAATCAATTCATTTATAAAATACAGCTCTTCATTAATGACAGAACACAAGCCATCGCAACACCATTCAATTTTAAACATATTAATTGCTTTCATCATTTTATAGTAATTAAAATCAACAATAATTCTTGATTTTACCAGGTTTTTAAAAACTACTACAATGTTTTTACCATTTCTCTTTTCTATTTCATTTTTTCTTGTAATATAAATAGCTGATTTTGCTTGACCAAAGATAAAATTCAATAATTGATAATTTATATTTGTTTTGTCTTTTATATTTAAAACCTAATATAAAACATTGTTTCGTAAATAAAAAGCCAAGTAAAGAAACTAAAGCATTTAAAAGATCAAACAGAGGAGCAAGTCTTTTACAATACATAAAACAGTGAAAAATTGTTTCCCTTTCTAAACAAAACGGACATTGATCACTCACACTAGAATTTATTTTAGTCACAAATGCATTAACAGATAGCACCATGTAAAATTCTCCGCTTCAAATCCCCCGATCTTTTATTCAATGGTGGTTTATACAATATTCTCCATTCCAGTTTTTCTTCTTCTGCTCAACACAGTTTATCTATCCACACAGTGTCAGATCTCTCTTTCAAAGTATACTTATTATTTAGTTTCACAATATTTTTGTAAAGCACTTTCCCTTTAACTGTACTAAAATCTTTCTATCTAATTTCCTTAAATAAAAAGAGAGAGAGAGAGAGAGAGAGAGATGCACACCTTTAGCTTACGTCGTTGTAAGATTGCTTCAGATAATTTATTGTCAAGAAGCTTTAGATGTTTTTGTACTAAAACATTTTCGACTTTTTTTATTTGCGAGAGTTTACGGAGACTGGTTAACGTTACGTTAATATAATCAAAGCTTCGCTTCCTTGGTTTCACCAAAGAGCTTAGAATGACCAAGAGGCGACACTCTAGTGTAATTTGGTAAACGGCCACTAGAGGGCCACTGGCGGCCATTTTGGACTGAAAACTCCAATGGAACAACAGCATATTATAAGTCTGTAAAATAAACTATTAAAAGTGCTGATGGTCGTGATAGTAAGTGTTGTATTGTTGTCTTTCGGGTTGTATCTCAGCTTTATTGCGCTTTTTAAATAAATTAATTAAACAAAGCAGCTGCTTGCCATCGCGACAGTAATGAGATCCAATGGACGGCCGATCACTTTCACTCCAAAATGGCGGAATCCAGGACTGTTGCTGGGCATAGATATATACACTAGATGTCGTCTGGCCAATTGTTGTCTATTGGACGGAATGCGTCAATAGCGCCGCCATCTTGCTACAGAGTAGCGCTCCTTTGAAATGAATGCGGGACCAAGGTACAGTGGAGGACTGTGGCCATGCAAAGCCAGAGATATACACATAAACACATATATCTATGATCGGGAGTTTTCCTGGATGTTAGTATGTAATTTTTTTTCTAATTACGAAAATTATAATTTTACATCACTTTTCTACATTGATGAATCAGCACAAAGGCATTCCTGACAAAAAGCTTGTGTTGTGTGTACAGAAATTTACTATTCACCCTCCCTGTTAAATTTAATCAAATCCGTGTCCTGAAACACACCTCCTCTGCTTTCACTTCTCATACTGACGGAGATAGCGATTCGTTTGTGAATGAATCCCCCGATCTCTTACACTAACGTTAGGCGACAATACAAGTTCTGGCTGCGCAGCATCTCGTTGTCATATTTCTTTTGCATTGTTTGCTGATTTTATTCAACAAAACTAGCATAAGCCGAGTGTTTAGTGCGAGTTGGAGCTGCTTTGCCTTGTGAATGCAGTAAGTGACTGTTTTCATCAATAACGTTACCCGATTAGCACAAAAGTTCAGAACATACAATAACAAAAAAAAAACTAATATTACCTATGAAATGTTCTGCCTTTATGCTTTTTTTCTTTGTTTGCTCGTTACTACACCTGTAGACAGCGCTAAAGTCCCGCATCTTCACGTAATAACACTGTCTTGACTAGTGCGGTTGAATGACATTTGTCCCGGGAGCACTGTACCAATGTGGCGGCGCTATTGACGCATGCTCAGGGTCCCTATGCGATATCTAGTGTATATATCTATGGTTGCTGGGCGCTGCTGTTGCAATGGAACGTCCTAGTGTCGCCTCTTGGTCATTCTAAGCTCTTTGGTTTCACATTTACAGATAAGCATCACCCCAGAGTGTCTGTTCACTTAAAAAGTTATAATGTATAAAACATTACAAAAAATGCAACTTACCAGGCTCTCGTCCATAATTCAGAACAAGTTCTATCACGGCTCTGTCTGACACGATAGTCCTAACGTTAGTAGTCCTGCTAACCTGCTTTCGCGAAAAAGGCTGCAGTAACACGCCCTTTCCGGTGTCGTCATGAGGTGTCTTGACTGCTTGGCAACCAGGATCTGAAGACAATTTCAGGGACAGCACAGAAGACAAACGTGAGTGTTTAAAATAAATATTAAAAGCTATCTTCTTTGACGTGTCATGGTTAAGATGTTTTGCAAATTCCGTTATGTAAAACATCGTTTGCGTCGCTTGTGAAAAACCTAATTTAAATGCGCTTGTATATTTTACAAAAAAAAAAAAAAACTTGCGGACTTAACGTTATTATTAGATAAATGCCATTTGTAACGTTGTTTTTAAACGTTTGAAAACTTACTAGAAAATGCGTATCATGCTGAAAATAATGCTTTATATTTATAATGCAAAATTTATAGTGATTCACTTTGTTTAGTAATAAATTTCATAGTTATAAAATAACTACATTAATAAATTTGCCAAGAAATAATCCACTTTACCACTGTAAAGCAATGCCCCACACTCACTAGAACGGTAGAACCTGGACTGTATGGAAATATATGTACACTCTATATATATATATATATATATATATATATATATATATATATATATATATATATATATATATATATATATATATTATTATTTTACATCACTTTTCTACATTGATGAATCAGCACAAAGGCATTCCTGACAAAAAGCTTGTGTTGTGTGTACAGATATATATATATATATATATATATATATATATATATATATATATATATATATATATATATATATATATATATATTGTTGGAATATCTATCTCTATTCCATGCGTGTTCAAGAGAAAAGGTCTGGAGAGGTTTTTCTTCAATGTCAAAAATCGTAACAATTTATTGGATACAAATGAATAATTCGATGACAGAGCTCTGGGTTACATTACCCCAATGCAATACAAGAATTACATTCAAGAGGTTCGCAACTAACATACATTTCCTGACTTCAGCATATATACACACCACCTATCTTAACAGGTGGAGTTTTGGTGTAACGTCACTTGTCAGTCATTGTTCAGTCCTCCATTGGCCGCCCCTTCGGCATACTTCCTCTTTTTCTATGAATTCTCTGCCCAACAACAAAGTATACATCGTTCTGTGTTCTGTGTTCAGTTTTAACACCTCTCTTCAGACAGGAAGTTTCTGCAGAGCTGAATTTAATTTTGGACCCGCATCTATCTACTTCTGCAAAACTGCTAATTAGTATGCACAGCACTCACCCACAACATTAGAAGTTCAGTTAATATATGACCCTTACATGATCAATACAAATAATTGTTTGATTAAAAGAAAAGAGACAAAAAATAATAAAAAATGGTTCCTATTATTCAATAATCCCCCTTTCTGCTCCTCATTGGAGCAGACAAAAACAAAAACAGATAATCAAATCCCCACAAATGTTTTAACTGTCATTACTGCAGGCCTTTGCCTAAATCTTTGTTTTACCTCTTATTCAAAATAATCTCTAACATCACAGTGCTCTTTCATTGTTAGATGATGCCCAAAACCCCTTTTAACTCAATTTCTTTAACTTTTCTGGATTCAGTTTATAATTTCCACACTCTTGGTTCTCCTTTTCGGTGGTGCAGTCTCTTCCCTCTTGAAGTCACTCCGATATCTTCTTTTAATAAGATTTATACTTGCTATATTCAGGCTTATTACTCCCAACACTCTTATTAACTTCCAATTATCCCATAATTAAAATTTTCCATTCTTATACACTTTAGCAATAAAGGTAATTTTTTTTTCTTCCCCACCAAAATTAGAATAAGAATGAGAATAATAAACAGCAAACAAAATGTAAAAGCTCCAACACAAAAAAATAAAAATCTGATTAAAAGGAAATCCACACCCATAAAGATATGCTCTAATTAAAAATCCCACTATATAATTATGATCAAAGATCAACACTTGTGAAAACACTTGTGATTGGAATTAGAAATTTACTAATACAAAATTATAACCCCCCTGAATAGTTCAAACTGAATTTCAACATTTTAAAGTCATTAAAGAACAAAATCACAATTGAGTTTTAGGATGAAAAATCAACAGCTTCAAAGTAGGATTAAACTCGACAATTATTAAAATGAAAAGTTCAGAACTAAATCATAACAAGGTTATTAAACTAACAATTCAAACTCGTCACCAAATTATTAAAACCAAAATTCAAACATATTTAAACTAGATTCTCTTTTTTTTTTTTTCTTTCAATGTCTTTAAATGGGAAAATCAAAAGCACAACAATGTACTTAAAATAAAAATAAAAATCTTAAGAATCTCTTCAAATAAAAGGTTCAAAAGCAACAATGGCTTAAAATAAAATCTTAAAATGTCTTTAAATGAAAGATTTAAAAACAACAATGGCTCAAACTAAAATAATCCTTAAAAATGTGTTCAAATAAAAGAATCTTCAAATAAAAGATTCTTACAATCATAATGATGTGTTTAAAATAAAATAATCTTAAAAATGTCTCAAAATAAAAGATCCAAAAGCATCTTAAAATATATATATATTTTTTAAAGCATTGAATGTATTAAAATAAAAGATTATGACAAACGTCTTTAAAATAACAAAGGATTTAAAAAGCATTAGAAAGGTATTAAAATAAAAGATAAAAAGTAATGGAAATTTCTTAAAATGAAAGATAATAAAAATATAAAAATGTCTTCACATAAAAGATAAAAAAATGTGTCTTAAAATAAAGAATAAAAATACAAAAAAAAAAATCAAAAAACTAATGTGTAAAATAAAATAATATTAAAATAGATTTAAAATATTAAATTTTTCTAAAATTTCTCCAGTCTAATTTGTCCAATTCATTCATTCATTCATTTTTTTTTTTTTGTTTTTTGTTTTTTAAGCTTAGTCCCTTTATTAATTTGGGGTCCCCACCGTCAGTGAAATGAACCGTCAACTTATCCAACATATGTTTTACACAGCGGATGCCCTTCCAGCTGCAACCCATCTCTGGGAAACGTCCATACACTTAATCACACATTTTCTGTCAGATTGTCATCTGCTAGTAAATCAGTCTTATTTTCTCTTTCTATTCTAGAATTTAGTGTGGTTTACGGTTCCCCTTTTTGTGTTGGCCTGTATCTAATATACAGTTGGCCTCATGCATTGGTGTTGCAGCGTGTTCAGCTCCCACACCAATACATGCTTACACACTCCAATTAGATATCAGACATCCCCTTTTTGTGTTTTATCCCCCTTCCGGCCTGGGCCTAGCTCCAGGCCGTTTTACACCCCTATATTGACTGTCAAGTTAATCCGGCCAGCCTCACACCTTCAGCAACCTGTTTAGAAGAAATAGGGAATAAGATTGTTAATTTGTCATTATATAATCTCTACATAAGTGATCCACTGCACATCCAAGCTGCACCAGGTCCCCAAAACTGCAGTCCTGTAAACAATTCAAAAGTCATTAATTCCATTGTTTATTCCATAACAAACTAATACCCCTCAACATGATTTTTATCCAATTCAGTTTGGTCTGTGCACAGAATTTTGCCAATTGTGTTTAACTTTGAATCAATTTTCTCTACCTTTCCCTGTAATTATTAGTCTTACACCATCCCTAAATTCATGCTTTAGGCCCATTACTTGCTGCAATTTCAAATATTCATTATTTCAGTGTTTATCATTATCCAATCTTATTCTTACTCAACATCTATTTGTTTCTAAATCGTCGTTCATTAAACACTTCATCACTGTCTGACTGTCCTCCTTGCTTGCTGGCCACTCCTCTAGCCATTCACTATAGCTGTCAATCATACCTAGCACATATCTTTTTATTCACCTGTTCTCCCATATCTCTATAATCAATTATACCCTCACCCTCATTCTTCTCTTGCAGTTTCTGATATCTCTAAATATAATTTTGTCTTATTATCAATATTAGTCTTATTACCATGTCTTTTACAGTCACCAGTTTACAGTTATTTGAAATGGCTTATTTATTTAGTGATCTGACTCCACCTATCCCAGACATCACTTGTCCCAATATTATGGCGTGTTATCTAATCACCTATAATTTTTTATTTACTTCCTTTAAATCTAGTTCCATATAAATGTCATAACAACTGCTTACTTCTAATCCATTAGTTGTCCACTTTTTTCTGCAAGTAAGATTTCATCAACATGCTTAATCAACACCACTCTCTCTGATAATTCAAAAAACCAATCACTTTACATTTTTTATCAGTATGACCAGATTTCTTCATACACTATTATTTTATAATCCTCCATTTAAGTATTTCACTAATAATCAATCAGTTTTTGAATTTGACACTACTTTTGATAATTCATTTTCTCAACTATTTATCACTTAGTTTGTTCTAATCATTTTTATGATTTCTTTTTGTTCTACGTCATTTCGGTTCAACTAGTTGCCCATACACTTTTTATATACTTTTATAAGCTAACTAAAAATCACTCAATTTTCTTATTCGTTTCTTTCAGCTGTATTTTGACTTCATCATTAAACTTCTTCACATGGTTACATGTGAAAGAAAATTTTAAAAAGAAAGTTTTCTTAAGCTCTCTTATTCTGTTTTAATTCTTTTATCAGATTAGAACTATTAATTTTTCCCCGATGACGTGAGTTCAGTTTTTCATGTGTTAATTTCTTCTTTACACATAAATAATTTTTTCTGTTACCAACCTTTTCAAGTTTTTAATTTCCCATCTTAATTTAGATGATTCAACATTATATTTTGCTTTTAGTAAATCTTTACTTAAATAATCAATTCCATCAAAATTGATAATTTAAATTACTTCTTCAGTTACCAATAGTTGTTTCTTCTTCTTTAGTCACCACCATACATTGTACTTCCTCCTATATCCTGTTCCTGCCCTGTATCAGTAAACCTATAAAAATTTGCAAAAATAGTTAAATATCATTTCAACATTTTACATTTAGAGATTCATTGTATATTTTCCTTTAAGTCTTTTTCTTAGTTATTATTTTCATAAAACCTTAATAAATTCTGTCTCTTTCATATTACCAGTCATCATATGGTCTCAAATGGTTCTTGACAGCACCCTGCCTCTTACTTTACCCACAAGTTCCTTTTTCTGAGTGTCTGATCTC